CAGCCTGGAGAGCCCCCAGGTGTTGCACCTGCCCTTGGCTCAGCCCATCAACGCCCTGGGGCAGGCGAGGGCCCCCGCGAGAGGGGCAGAGAACCCCGTGAGCGAGTATTTCTTCCCAGGGATCACATCCCAGCAGTTTGGCTCCGCACATGGTGAAGACTTCTGGTAACCAGAGACATCTCATGCCAGCAGCCAAGCCCTCGCTCCCATAAAGGGTGATAACCCCCCAGGAAGGGTGATACCCCCAGCCAGCCTGGCTGGCTCATGGCTCTGCAGCAGCTGGGCCCATCAGCTGGTGTGCAGCCCTGCAGTGCTTTCGGTACCCATTCCCCATCTTCCCTCTTGCCCTGCCTTCAGCCACCATTAGGAAGGCAGCGGGAGCCCTGAGCTCACCCTGTTTCATCCCAGGCTCCTCTGGTGCTTTTCTTAGTTTCATGCAGTGCATGGGGAGACAAGGCTGGGGACAGCCCTGGTTCCTCCAGCTGCAGCCTCCTGGGCACCCTGGGGTACTTGTTCCCTGCTCTGGCCTCTCCCTTGTGCTGTTTCTGGCTTTTGATTTAGTTTCAGGCTCTTGTGCTTTCAGCCCCTGCCCGGTTGTAGCATTTTTTTCTTCTTTTCCAGCTGCCTGTCCACCCTGCAGCTTGGCACTGTTATACAGATTGTAGACTGCTTAGAAATCATCCAAAGCAGCAAGTGTCCCTGGCTCTGGCTACAAAGGAGACAAAAATATGGACCAGTGGCTAACAGTGGCTGATCACCCCCTCCACCTCTGAGGGTATGTGCCCATACAACAAACTCTAGCCCTCACTAGTGAGACTGGGCCCACTCATCCAGTATAACCAGTTAGAATACGTTTAAGACTAGGATAAGATGGGGGCCAGCCACTGTGGCTTTATTGACAGGCGAGGAGATGGCAGTCACTGGGATATTTGGGGTCTCACAGAGCAAGTCCTGCTTTCCTGGGTCCCACCAGGCTCAGTTGGGGCCCAGCCTGTCAATGAAAGGAACCAGGACACATCTGATTGCCATAGCCAGGCTCTGTGCCTTGCCACATGCCAGGAGGAAGGACTGTAGTAGGCTGATGACTGCAGCATGAGAGCTTGGTTGGGTTCCCACATCAGTCCCATAGGGCTAACCTAATAAGGGAAATAAGGGGACCAAACAGGAGCACTTCAGAGGCCACTTGGTTCTTGTGGGCCCACCTGGAGGGGGCTGGGATGCACAGGCAGCCCTGTCCTATCTAGTGTCCTGGGGTCCCCCAGTGGCCCAGGCTGCCCTGAGGGCACTCCAATGACTGTGCACCCTCAAGGTGAGCAGCTACCCCCCACCAGCCCAAGGAGGGTGAGTGCATCCCACTGGAGCTGACAGCACTGAAAGTAATTGTCCAAAGAACCAAGGGACTAGGGCTGCTGTTGGCCTGGATGGTTTTCTGTGCCCAGGAGCCCTGCAGCACCCCTGGGCACCTGCCCAGCCGCAGTAGCAGTGGGCAGACCCTGTGCTGGGATGGCCCCCACCCCACTTCAGCCACGGCCCTTTAACCACTGGCAAGCTGCCAAGCAGGGTAAGCTTCTGCCCCGGGAAGGTTCCCCCAACCCTATCCAGTTTGGAGCAGGTACTGCTCTGGCCGGGGGACTGAACCCCCCCACTTCCAGTGGTCCTGACAGGGAGTTATGTGCAGCGTTAGCAGTGCACCCTGCATCTCCTGAGGACAAAGTCCTGCCTCGGGCATGAGACAGGGACATTGGTAACGGGCAGGAGCTGGCAGCAGCACAGGGTGACCCCTCTGTGCCCCCCTTTCCCTGCACAGTGGCTCCCCCTGCCTGCACCGAGCGCTGCCTGCCCCACAGGGCCATGTCGGGGGAGGTCAACGTGCCCCCACTGACCCTGGGGAGAAGGAAATGCATCCACCAGCACGCACCTGCGTTTGTTTCTGTACTGGGCCTGCCAGCGTCCTAGGGCCAGCTCAGCCCCTCTGACCACTGCTGTGCAGCCAGATGCAGACAGGGTGGCCAGGTGAGCTGAGCTGGCCTTGCCAGCTCTATTGCCCTGCTAAACCCCCCACCTGGCTTTTCCTAAGCCAGGCTGGGTAAGCATCAGCCCACAGCCCAGGAGGGACAGGACAGAAGGGGTGCTCCCAGCACAGGCATCCTCCAGGGACCCTTTGAGCCACAACCCCAGGTCAGACCTGGATGCAAATCCCCAGGCTGGGGACAGCCAGGGAAGGGTGGTGCTGGTCTGTCCCCAGGGCTCCCCGGTGCCGCAGGCAGCAGGGCTGCTGAGAGAGGAAACTCTACCGATGGTTAACTTCATTAACAGATATTAACCATTAACTCCATTAACAGAGCAGTCACTGCAGGGGATGCTGTTGAAGGGCCGGGTGAGCTGCCACCCCACCCCCGGGTGCTGCCAACTGTGGGGCCCCTCCTGGAGGGGGTAGAACCACCACGGGCCCGGCAGCAGCATCGGGGTGCAGAGCTCTGCCCACGGACCCCAGGCCAAACAAGGGCTGGGGCTGTCCCAGGCACTGTCCCCTCATCCCCCTCCATGCCAGGCCAGCCCCTCTGAGGGGGGGACACAATGGCCATCCCTCTGGTGCTGCTCAGGACCCTGCTCACCCAGTCTGCCACTCTGCCTCTCCCCTCATGCCCCTAGCCCTACCAGCAGCCCCAAAAACCTGCCAGGAACCAGGTTTAACCCCTTCCTTCCCAAAGAGCAGCCCAGCTTCTCCAGATGGAGGGAAGAGGCCCTAAGAAGGCACCAAGACCGCGCAGGCTGCACCATCCAGCAGCTGAAGTGAGTGGCCCAGCACCCCATGCCTGCAGTTACAGGGATGTCAGCCCATGAGAAGGGGTTGGGGCAGGCCTGGGGTCTGCACTGAGCTTGCGAGGCCTCAGGACTGGGGCTGTCAGGCTTCATCCAGGCTTGGCTCAGCTTGCCTGGAGCTTTTGTTTGATCTACTTGGTTTGTAACAGCATCTGACTACCAAGTAGCCATTAACTACTTAGTTTTAGTTTTGCTTCCCTTCTACAGTGGCACGAAGGGTAGGAATGAGTAACAAGAAGTTGTGCAGAATAAACCCTGGGGTGAAGGTGCAGGGTAGAGCAGCACAGGCCTGGAGGGGTGGGCACAGGGTGACAGCTGAGACCCCACCAGCAGCTCAGTCTTGTTTCAGTGACACAAATGTAAGAGCTGGCAAAAATGGGCGTCAGGGGCAAGAGAACAACGAACAAGCATCCGGCATGGGCACAAAACAGCACTTACTATGATGGCAGATGTAATGTGGAGCCACAGAGCAATGAAGAGAGGGGTAGGGTGTGTCAGAAAGTGCACAGAAGTGGCCCCAGTGGACTTGAGAGTGAAGAGGAAGAAATCCCTGCTCTGACCGTTGCTCTCCTCCCAGCAAAGGCCTCAGGACGTGGACAACTCATGGTGACCCCCTCCGCAGCTGAAAGTGCCATCCTCAGCTCCCACGGCACATGCCAGAGGTGGCCGTGTCACAGCTGCGACTGCAGGACATCACCGAGATTGGTTCTGTAGCAACTGCAGACGTCCTCAAGAGGAGGCAAAGCCTGCAGCAAACCTGGGAGTGGAAGTTGCTCCCTGCTGTGACCCCTCCTTGCTCCCAGCTGCAGGAACATGGGCTCTGTCCCTCACAGAAATGACCCTCTGTGGCTCAGCACCCACAAGGATCCATCCTTCCTGAGGTGTGAAGGCAGCCAAGGCCACAGGCACTTGCAGAGCTTCACCCTCCTCTGCATGGCTCCGGTCCAGCTGCAGGAGAAAGGTGCCAGAGAAGTGCAGTGGCTTGTGGCGCCTCACAGCAAACGTGAGGGAGAGCAAACTTCTCACGGCTCTCGCTGCCCTGTGCGGAGTTTCTTCCTTCTGAAGGCAGCTCTGTGACCCTCTCCGATTGCTCTGCACCCACCAACAGGAGCACTGAAGAGTCACCTCTCCACAACAGCACTGCTCAGCCACTGCCACAGGAGAGGTAGACCATGGGGTTTGTACACTCGTAGAACCATTTGGTTGGAAAAGACCTTTAAGATCAATGAGTCCAGCCATAACCTGTCCACCACTAAACCCTGTCTCTAAGCACCTCATCTCATCAGCTTTTAAATCCCTCCAGGGATGGTGACT